ACCCCCCCCTGGAAATGGAGGGCAAAAATTCAGGCTTTCGGGTTGGGTTGGGGTGACGTGGTGGGTGGTGATGAGCCACGCAGGCGACAGGACAAATTTTTCCGTCGCAGCGCGGCAGGAGTCCGTGCGCGCGCTCAGCGAGCCGGATGGCAGCATCGCGAATTGCAAAGTGCCCGGAGGCAAGAGGCACAAGAGAAGAAAGGAGAGGAGCAGCCGCGGGAGGGGGGAAAGGAACTGGCGCGCTGGGGAGAGGAATGAAAACTGGTGGTGGGCGACCCGGGAGAAGTTCGCGAGCCCGTCAGGCAAACAGTCCAGCAACCTCCAAGCCTGGGCACGGGCCCGCTACGGCCGCAAACTGAACGAATGAAGGTCAGCGAAACCACCTATAACACGGCGGTCAGCCTGCAATGACTTTCGATCGCCACCCAAGAATAACTCACACAAATCTCGTTCCGACTCGATCTTTTGGCGTGCGCGGTCCACATCACCGCGCCGTGGTTGCGCGCCCGCTTGACCATTGCACTGCAGGGAGCAGCGTTTGCTCACAGAACGGCGGCATGGCGTACGCAACGTCGTCGCCACGTCGTCCATCGGTGTTGCGCCAAGAGGTGCTGCGCCGAGTGCGGCCTCGGGGCCAGTGCAAGCCGTCTGCGGTCGTTGTCCCGTCTGCCATCCTTAACCAGCCACCGTCGAGGAGAATGCGGCGCTGACACGAACACATGTGGTGCGAAAGGAATCGGGGGCGCCAAGCGCGCAGCATTGCTGCTCTTGCCCCAGTGAGGCCGAGGCAGGCGGCAGCCAGGGCGACATCCGCAGAAGGCTCGGCGATGCCGTCACTCACGACACGTGCAGCGAGGCAACCCCGCCATGATAGATTCCCACAAGCACTTGCGGACCACTCGACGACAACCGCCGCCGCTGCAAGCAGGGCGCTCGCCGGCGCACGGCAGCCTCGAACGAAGGAAGCACGCTGACAGGAATGCAGCCCGCGAGGGCTGCCCCCGAAAACGAGGCCCCCTGGCATGATCCTGGGTCGCCATCCGGCAGAGAAAATTCTTCTCGCGTCGCGGAGTGTACACGTCCAGAACGCCTGCAGACTGGGCGTTGGCTGGTTTGCCCCGCTCGTCTGCCGTGCTGGTATGCCGTGGTTCTCGGCCGTCTTGGAGGTATATTGGGCGCCTTGGGGGGACTCTGGGGGCTTCTTGGAACCTCGCAAGGCTTCCCCCTAGCCTCGCCACCCGAAAAGGATACTTGGATGCGGGCGAATTCACCGAAGATTTAAAGCCTGGTAGCACCATGACTGTCTCTTGGAGGTGAGGCCATCTTGCTGCCAACCACGCTTGGCTCAAAAATCCCTGCATCGACTTAGAGGGTCACGTGTGAGGGGTGTGCCGAGACGGGCCGGGAGAGACATGCGAACCCCTGCCACTGGGGCCTCTGGTGGGGCCCTCTCTGGGGTCACGAAACGCGTGAGGGGTGTGCCGGAGATGGGCAGGGAGCCGCACGATGACCCTGCCACCGGGTTCTTCGGTGAAGCTCCCTGTGGGGCCACAGCACGCTGGAGGGGTGTGCCGAACTTTGCGGGGAGCCGCACGATGACCCTGCCACTGGGTTCTTCGGTGGAGCTCCCCTATGGGGCCACGAAGCGTGCGAGGGATGTGCCGAAATCGTCGTGCGGAGGGCATACCCAGGAATGGGAGGAGGGGGAGGGCAGCGGGAGGGAAGGAAGGCGGCGCGGGGCGCTGTCTCGTCAAAACAAGGACCCAACACCGCAGGATATTGCGGGAATCAACTGCGAAATCATGCAAAAACAAACGGGGAAACAATACGTTGTGTTTCGCTCGGGGCATCTTGACGGTCCCCTTGCGGCCGTCTTGGCACATCTCGGGCTCCTCGGGTGCTGTACTGGGGCCCTCCAAGACCGTCTTGGGACTATGTTTGGCTGCCTTGGCATTGTCTTGTCTTTCCTGTGCTTGTCCGGCCTTACTCTCGGCGGCGACGATGAGGCCGAATAGCCCAGTTGGCGGGCATCACACGTATTCGCCAGGGAGCCTCGCTGAAGACATAGATCATCGGCGCCCCTGGATACATGTATTGCTCCCCCCTGGGCTATTCGCCCCTCTCGTCGCATCTGATTATCTTGGCCACTAGCTTGGACCCGTCCTGGAGGCACCTTGACCCGTCCTGGAGGCCGTCCAGCGCTGCACTCGTGGCCGCTCGTCGACCGCAGGGGTTGACCCACTCTTTGAGGGAACTCCTCACGGGTCTGGACGGGGGTGTGCGATGTGTCCAGGGCCCGTTTGGGCCCCAGGAGGCTCCAAGAGTTAATAAGTCGGGCGTGTCCCCTAGAGGCGGATATTGGACGACAAATTGCATATATATATATATGTGTATATATATATGTATATATGTGTATATATATGTATATAGAATACTCCAAAATTGTCAAAAATATGTTTTAACAAAAAAATCAAAGCGAAATTGTCGTCGTCGTCGTCGTGGAGGCCTCTCGGAGCCGTCTTGGGGCCCTGTGAGGCCCTTCTTAGGGCCCTCAGAGGGGCCCAAGAGCCATCCATGTCGTCGTCGTCGTCGTCGTCGTCGTCGTCGTCGTCGTCGTCGTCGTCGTCGTCGTCGTCGTCGTCGTCGTCGTCGTCGTCGTCGTCGTCGTCGTCGTCGTCGTCGTCGTCGTCGTCGTCGTCGTCGTCGTCGTCGTCGTCGTCGTCGTCGTCGTCGTCGTCGTCGTCGTCGTCGTCGTCGTCGTCGTCGTCGTCGTCGTCGTCGTCGTCGTCGTCGTCGTCGTCGTCGTCGTCGTCGTCGTCGTCGTCGTCGTCGTCGTCGTCGTCGTCGTCGTCGTCGTCGTCGTCGTCGTCGTCGTCGTCGTCGTCGTCGTCGTCGTCGTCGTCGTCGTCGTCGTCGTCGTCGTCGTCGTCGTCGTCGTCGTCGTCGTCGTCGTCGTCGTCGTCGTCGTCGTCGTCGTCGTCGTCGTCGTCGTTGTCGTCCTCGTCGTTTAGGGTCGGCGGCACTGGCCGTAAGGCCTTTCCAGTAGTAAAACAAATAGTCCCATGACTATTGTTTTGCTATTTTTGAATTTTCGTCCTGTAGAGGGACAGGCCCGACTTCATCCAAGAGGGCCCCAGGCAGCCCGGTGTGGCCTGCCCCGCGGTCCGAAGAAGAGTCGCGGCACTGCCTGTTGAGGACTGTGGTGCTGGTGTCGCCTCTTCTAGCATTTGTTCTACCATCTTTTTTATAGCTCTGAATATGCTTGTTTTTCCCTCCCAAATAAATGTGTTCAAGGTGGTCTCGAGCGGGCCTCCCGAGAGCCGGAGGACGACCCCGAGGCGCCCCTCAGTGGCCACGGGGCCTCCAGAGAGCCTGGCCCCCGAGAGGCCAGGATCGCCGACGAGCCCCGAGGCTGCACCGCGTGCTCTGCCTGCGCTCCTCGGGCCACCGCAAGGCAAGAGAGCAGCCCAAGACGGCGTTGAGGAAGGCTCCGGGCGCCCGGCGCTGGTGGAGGACTCGAAGAGACGACCTCCTGGGCTCCAAGAGGATCCAAAGACAGCGCCTCCGAGGCTCCTGCCGGGGCCCCGAGAGGGCAACGAAACTGCTCCAGGGAGCCTCCAAGAGGCTCCCAAAGATCTCAACATTCAAAATTATGGGCCGCTGTGTTCGATGGTATGCGTATCTTCTTCCCTTGCCCCGATTGCTCGACTGGGCATCGTTTCTGGACAGGCCCGTGGGGATACGAAAAGCGTCAAAGAAGAGCGACCTCGAAAGCAACCGGGCGCTCAGTGCAAGCCAGGCCGGCACGCTTCGTCCTCCTGCAATGAGGGCACATTGACGTTGAAAGCGCCTGCGGTGCACCTTGCCCCGTTCAAGCTAAGTCACGCCGGGACAGCGCCAGGCCCCACGAAAGTCGGGGGTGGCCAAGAGGGGGGCGTCCAAGCGGGAGGGGTGCAAATCATGGCCGGCGGCCTGTGCGCGGCCCAGGGGGGCAGGGGGGGGGGCCAGGGACGTAATGAAATAAGAAGAGGCGCCATGAAATCTGGGGAAATATCATGGCCCATGCCATGATATCCACCCCCCCCTAGTCATCACCCCTTTCTTTGCCGCCCCCGAGAAAAAGGTGAGCAACTCTCGTTGATAGTTCGACCGGGATTTATCTGCCTGCTCGCTGTATCCAGACATTGCCGTTCACACGCGCAGACGCACAAACGCACACACTGCAAAGCGACGCAAGATAAGATATCCTGCAGCTCCTCCTCCTCCTCCTCCTCCTCCTCCCCATCTTCCTCCTCCTCCCCATGATCATCATAATCAACATCATCATCGTCATCACCATCATCACCATCATCCGGCGTCACCTCCTCCTCCTCCTCCTCATCGTCCTCATACCTCCCCCTTATCCTCCTTCCCTCCTCCACTTCAGGACACTCCCAAATAGGCTAACCATCTGAGCACGTCCGCAGAGATGGGAGAAGCTGAGGGAGAGGAGGGGACCGGGAAGGAGCAAATGAGAAGGAGGACGAGAAGGAGGTTGAGGCAGATGGGTAGGAGGGCGGAGGACAGAACCAAGGGACACTGCCACGCCGTTTGCCCGCACAGTCGCTGCATCTAGTCCCGATCCTGCTCTTCAACCGTTCGCGATGTGACTCTCCACTTCGTATCTTAAAAGGCCAGAATTCTCCACTAATGCGAGACATGTTGCTGCAGCATCTCACCCAAGTGTGACACAACGATCGGCCAAGACACCATAGTGAACTCCAGTACCCGTCGCTCGGAAAAGTGGGTAGAAACATGAAGTAGGAAGGCGTTGGAAGTAGATTGGGTCTCCGCCCACCCCGTGAAGAGGAGGGAAGAGGGAAAACCGCCCGACTCTTGAAGCAGGAAGGCACTTGAAGTAGATTTAGATCTGGATCTCCAAAAATACAGACTTTCAGCGACCAGCGTGTCATCATGATTGCCACTGCATCCCGCATCTATAGCGAAGACATCGCTGCCACCTGGGGCCAGTTCGCCGCAGAGTCGCATCGGGAGCCGAACCAACTGTCGGCTGCCACGAGTTCAGAAAACGAGGGTGCACATGAAGCGCAGAAGTCACCCTCAACCGAGTCTGATTCTTTCTAACTCCCTACCATACCGCACTAAGAACTGCTATCAGGACCGTTCACCTTCGCTTCCCCTTCCTCGGACCCCTCACCCATGCCACGGCTTTCCCCCCATGCCCCCTCTCCCTTAACAGTTGGCATTGGAAAAGTTGCGTGCAACCTCAGTCTCCGAACAGCATGCTATCCCTGTGAGGCGATCCCCCCGCGGGCGGGGGCCCCCAATATGCTCGCTACCCCCCGCAAAGGCTTCGTAGATGCACGCTATCCCCAATGTGGGGTGTTGCGTGAAATAAGCGGGTCGGCGGCACCACGTCGGACGCTGTCTTCCCAACGCCAAAATGCAACAAATGTTGTATGTCGAACACTGGGCCCGTGATACAAGCCAACCCATCAACAGCTCTGTCGCCACACGTCACGACGTTCCAACAAGACACGCAGAGTAGATCAAGGAGGGCGATGAAACAGCCGTCGAGCGAGTAACAACTAAGGCGCACAGCACGATGGAATATCGATTGATTTGAAACTCTGTATCCTGGAACTCGGCCCATTCCCGATCTTCATTGCGTCCACGAAACCATCGTGCTCGCCCCTTTCGTTATGGGTGCAAAGCACACGAACAGTTCGACGAAAACAAGCTCGTCTGATGGGTGTGCCGAAATGGAGCACCCTATCGGGCCACGAACGAAACGTGTGAGGGGTGTGTCGAAATGGGTGCGGCGGGCGAATGCGAACGCAGCCAGTGGGACCTTCGGTGGAGCTCCCTATGGGGCCACGAAATGTGTGAGGGGTGTGCCGAAACGAAGACAGGCGAAGGCCAATGGCAAGGAGGGGGAGGAGGGAAGAGAGGGAGGAGCGGGAGGAGGACGAGTGAGAACGCGGGGCGCTGTCTTTTCAAAACGAGGACCCAACACCACAGGATGGTTGGGAACAAATACGTTGAATACCGAACTCGACAACACCACTACCAAATTCCATGACATGAGGACCAGGGCAACATCAGCTCCCATACAACCCGGACAACAACCAGCAAGTTGTTAGGGATTGTGACTGAGTTCGTATGCACCCCCAGGGCACATTCGTCCCCAGTGGCCTGTGGCAGAAAGATGCTCTCCACTTCCCATATCCCCTTCACACCATCTACAAGTATCAACCCGCTTCAGGTTCCAGAATCATCCTGGAACCGTTCGGGGGTGATGCCTGGAATCTGAAACGGGTGATGTTCCATCTCGGCCTCTCTCAGGAGCCTTACGAACCGCCCTTCCACCAAAATGACTGTCCATCTGCCCCCCCATTTGGGATTCAGCCGGAAGGCCCAGCGGAAAAAAAACAAACAAACAAAAAACACACACACACACACAAATAAGGCATCCCATGTTTAAATGACACCTTTGGGGGCTCATGTGCACCCCCCCTCCAGCACTCATCCCAGAGGGAAACAAAATTGCCTGGTGAAGGACCCAACACACATACCGTTGTGAGTCTCTCTTGGGCCAGGAAGCATGTGAGGGGTGCGCCAACATGGGCGCTGCGGGCGCATGCGAACGTAGCTACTGGGGCCTTCGGTGGAGCTCCCTATGGGGCCACGAAACGTGTGAGAGGTGTGCCGAAATGGGTGCGGCGGGCGCATGCGAACGCAGCCACTGGGGCATTCGGTGGAGCTCCCTATGGGGCAACGAAACGTGAGAGTGGTGTGCCGAAGTGGGTGCGGCGGGCGCATGCGAACGCAGACACTGGGGCCTTAAGTGGAGCCCCCTACGGGGCGACGAAACGCGTGAGGGGGTGCCGAAAAGGGTGCGGCGAGCGCGTGCGAGCGCACCCACTGGGGCACTCAGTGGAGCTCCCCATGGGGCCACGGAACGTGTGATGATGTGTCGAAATGGGCGCGGCGGGCGCATGCGAACGCGGCCACTGCGGCCTCCAGTGGAGCTCCCTACAGGGCCACGAAGCGCGTAAGGGGTGTGCCGTAAACGGCTCGGCGGGCGCATGCGAACGCAGCCATTGGGGCCTTCAGTGGAGCTCCCTACGGGGCCACGAAGCGTGTGAGGGGTATGCCAAAATGGGTGCGGCGGGCGGGCGATGATGATGATGATGATGATGATGATGATGGTGATGGTGATGGTGATGATGTTGGTGATGATGATGATGATGGCGACGACGATGCTGATGATGATGGTGATGGTGATGATGATGGTGATGATGATGATGGTGATGATGATGGTGATGATGATGAGAATGATGATAAGGAAGATGAAGAAGGTGATGGTGATGAAGATGGCGAAAATGATAATGATGGCGATGGTGATGATGGTGATGATGGTGATGATGGTGATGCAGATGATGTTGTCGATGCTGATGATGCTGATGCTTATGATGATGATGATGCTGATGATGCTGATGATGATGATGACGATGATTTTGATGATGATCCACGCATCCAGGAAGGTCTGGAGCTCCCCGCTCGATACAGCCTCCCGAAGCCATGGCCTTTTCCCTCTGGCGCTGCGGACGCAAGGCCTGGCCCGTGCAAAGGCACACTCGCAGACTCGCCTGAAACTAGAGGCCACGCCATCCGCCTCGGCCGAGGCAAGCGGGAGGCAGGGCACCGAGCACTCACGGCAACTCAGCTTGCTGGCTGGCGGCACAGAGCAGAGCAAGCTGGGGCGCAAGAAGCGCAGACGCTGCCCAAGAGGGGCGGGAGGGAGTGAACCCTGGCGTGTGCCGAGCCCCACGGGGTACAGCCTACGCCACGGGGTCCCTCCCCCCCCAGAGGCAGCAGCTCGGCGCAGGCATTCGTGATCCTTGGACCCGCCTGCGACACGAGCAGATCCAGTGAAGGCACCAAGGCCCCCTCATCGGGCATCTGAGCGTCTAAGGCCTGGGGCGCCTCGAGTGGGGCCCCGAGGAGGAAGCTGGCCGCTGCGAGGGCCAACCGCGAGGCGGCCGCCGCCTCCAGAAGCTCGCCTGCCGACAGGAAGCCTGCGTCGATGCCATCGCCGCTGCAGGGAACGGATCGGCCGCCGACGTCGCCGAACCCGTCGCCGTTAGTTCCTGCAGGGGCAGTGGTGTCGCCCGCAGCAGCTGGGCCAGCGCCTCGGGGGACTCTGAGCCTCCCCCCCGCTGCGCAGTGCTGCTGTATGATCGCCTGCAGGACGTCCAACTCGATCTCCTCCACGTGGACTCCAGACGCCGCGGCGCCCTCGGGAACCACATCCACCGTGTCGCCCTCGAGCTCGTCGGGAACGGGGGGCGCAGCCGCCCACTTCAGCTCGTCGGCGATGCGCCTCATGTCAGTGGGATCCCTGCCGTCCCACAGCCAAGTGAGAGCCCTGAAACCGATCGGGCAGTCGGTGAGAGCAGGCAGGGGAGGCAAGGCCCTGAGGCCCACAGTCCCATCGAGGAGGACATCGGAAGCATCGAACCCGTCGGAGAACTCGCAATCATCACCTCGATCCTCCACCACGAGGAAAGAGAGCGAGCCATCGGATGCGTCGTCGTTGTGCTCGCCCGCGGCCGCTGGCGCATCCGAGCTCATCGCGATGTACGCCTGCAGCTGCTCCCTGAGCGTGGCGAGCTGGTCCCGCAGCGCATGCTCCGCAGCAGCCCAGCCTTCTCGTAGGGAGCGGATGTCCTGGGCCTGCTTCGCGACCAGAGCCCTGTACTGGGAGCTGTCCGACGCGGGAAGGTGCAACTCCCCCCTCAGCACGTCCACCTGGTAGTCGGAGCCGAAACCGCGGCCCAGGTCCACGTCGGCGTTCGCGTCCCTGCGCTGCCTTGCGCCCTCCAGCTGCTGCAGGAGCGCCGCGTCCCGCAGCTCCGATTCCAACGCCTCCGCGAGCCGACAGGGGCTGCACTCGAAGGTCCAGGCGACCCCAGTTGAGGCCTGGCACAGCCGCAGCCTTTCGGGCAGGGAAAGCATGCCAACGATCCGTACCTGGAGCACCTCGGGCAGCGGGGCCAACAGGGCAGCGGCAGGCTTGAGCGCGGGCCGCTGTGCCGCCTCGAGCCGCTGGTGCAAGTCCCGCCGCAGGCGATCGAGGTGATCCTCGCCCCCCAGGAGCTCCGACTGGACGCTGCCGTCCACTGCCACGGCGACGACCTGGTTCGCGAAGCTCACGATGGGGGGGCGCCGCCATCCATCAGTGGCGGCAGCGCCGCCCAGCACTGGGCAGTCCATGGCACCGGGAGCCTGGCAGTGCTCGTCGGGTGCCTCATCGTAGTCGCCGAAGGGCAGCGCGGCCGCCTCCGGGAGCGAGGGCAGCCAGCCCAGGCGGGGGCCTGCGGCGGCCCGCGAAAGGCCCGCTGCGGACGCGCGCGCGAATCCGCCCGCAGGGACCAGCAGCGCGTGCCACGCGGCGTTCCGCCGCCGCCGCATTGCGCCTGGGACGCGGCATCCCGCGGCGGCTCGGCGCAAGGCGGGGCGCGCAGCAGCCTCCCGGTCCTGCCAGGAACCTGGGCCGCCGCTGGCCGCCTTGCCGACTGCCGCCGTGGCGGCGAGGAGGCGCCGCGCCCGCGCCCGACGGCGGGCCGCCGAGGCGCCTACCTCGGCCTCCTCCTTCCTGCGCAGCGCACTGCCACGCCTGGTGGGCCGCCCCGCCATCGCGCCTGCGGGCAGCCCCCCGTCGCCATTGCTCATCTCCCAGTCGCGCGCCGCTGACCGCTGCGCGTGGGCGCCTGCGAAAGTCCGGAGAAACAGCTTGAGCCAAAATGGCTACGGATGATTTTGATGATGATGATGATGATGATGATGATGATGATGATGATGATGATGAGAAGAAGAAGAGGGAGGGGCAGCGGGAGGTGGACCATGGATAAATATACTAAAGTGTAACTAGTACACACCTTCAGCGGGCCTGGTGGCCATTTCCACCCTGACATAACCGCGTAGTGGAGCACTACTGACAATAACCACCCATTCCGCCTCAT